ATTTTGGTTTGTTCTTTTTTTCATCCAAAAGCAGTGTTTTCAAATTCACATGTGGAATTAGGTGACTCTCCTTGTAAGAGTCGCAGCTGCTTCTGTGAATAACACCAGATCGTGTCTCTTGTGAATTCCTAGGTCAAACTCACAACTTAACATTCAGTTGTCAGACTTCACTTTATTAACACGTTGGGATACATTTCTGGTCCCAAGCATTGACCTCTGGATAGCAGCACTGGCTTTAGAGGTCCGCTCTAGGCAGTGTTGCTGATGGCCATGAATTACTGCGCGACCTTCAGAAGCCAAGCCTTGTTGGAGGAACCCTTCCCTGTTCCCAGTGCACAGTATTGAATTGCAAATCATCCGAGTGTAGTCATAGGGCCTCTTCTGGAAGCGGTCGTTCTCCTCTAGCAGGTCCGAAACAATGCAGTTGCAAAGGCCATTTTATTCTGCTCTACTCCCTCTGCGGTCCATTTCACATTTTCCTTGCTCCTGGATGGCAATGTATGCTGCTGGCATGAGCTGGAAGTTGTGAGCCCTCTTTACACTTGGGCTGAGTTAGTGAGAAGCAGGTGTGATCCTATCGGGCCTTCCTTGCATTTAGTGGTCCTCTTAATCCATTTATAACAGCACTTGTCCAGAAATCTGGTTTGAATGAGCCTGAGATGAATGAATAATGTCAAGCAGTTCAGACGTCAAATATTTGAACAGCTGCGTGGGTGTTTTCACTGGCTTTGTGCATGGAAGCAACCCGGGAAGTTAGACAAGGAGGGTCAGGTCGAAACTGTGGCACCAAACCCTAGCCTGCCGGAACTGGCCTCAAAATCCATCCCTGCTGCGGATGTAAGGGTGTTAGAATGGCGGTGGCAGGCTGTTTGCTCCACAGGTGATGCTGGACCAAGCTTTGCATCCTGTTCTTTGGTGTTCTTTTGCATGCGGTGGCAGTACTGTGTTTTATGGACCTTTTGATTCACATCGGAAATATATTTTGTGGATTTTGTTTTTCTTTTTTTTTTTTTTTTTTTTTTCCAAAGCAGCCTCTGAAGCTGATAGCCCATCTTATATTCAGAGTCTTTTCTGGGTACGTGGAGGTTACTTTGTTTAGCATACAGTTTCTGAATCAGGGTTTTTTTACTGTGTTGCAATGGATTGCATTTGGTCATGTTAAAAAAAAAACAAAAAAACAAAAAAAACCCCAACAAAATCCATATTTGGTGAAAATCTGAGGGTTGGATCACCTTATTGCAACTTCCTGTAGCCACTGGCCTGGGAGTCCTTGTTTGATCAGAAAAGAAAACTTGCCCTTCTCCTGCCCCTCATCTTAACCTACGGACTTCTCTACTGTGCCCTCCTCTCAGACTGAAATGCTGTATCAGATCATCCCAGTGTGTATCTGTCATCATAACACGTACTGTCCAAACCCTTCCTCTGCACCCTCCCTGTGTAGGGGGAATAGTACTCTGCTGGGAATGCAGTGGTTCCTATTATAGAGCTAGATTCAGCACAAGGTCTGTGGAGTATTTTCCTTACAGACTTAAAAGGGATTTTCTTAAGTACAAAGGTTTTGAGAGCAAGGACACCAGGATTCTGAAGTCAAGGTGCCTTAATATTTGTAAATTGTATCACAGTAAGCAGATCTTCTTTTCTTAAGCTCTAACCATAAACCAGTACTTGGCTTGAGTCACTTGGAAACAAAATTGATGGAAAGGTGCGTGTTTGCTGTGTGCTTGGCATCCTTGCAGAGAGAGGGACACAAGGAGCAGTCCCACTTACTTTCACTCTTTTGGACACTTTCCCCCTGCCCCCAAGGCACTTGCTGCAAGTATTCATTGTCTGGCTAACATTCAGATCACCTCCGGGACTGGCCAAGTCACAGCTCCAGCTTTGCATGATTTGTGTTTCCCACAGCTACAAGAAAAATGAAGACCTGTGTGTCCAAAGTTTATGGCCTTTGAGAAGTGATGGGCTAAAGTAATGCCAGGTGCAGGGGATGGTGTTACTGCAGGTTAAATGCCATACCTGTAAATTACCACCCCATTGCCCACTGCGACTTCTAAGGCAGCTTTGAAAGACTATCTAGCTTCTTTGACAGGTCTCTCTTACTCCTCTAAATCTTCTCCCAAACATTGTGATGAACTGAAAGATTCAAGATATACTAGATGAGCCATTGCAGCAAGAGAAGGCAGCTCGTGACATGTGTTGGCTGGCAGCGTGCAGCCGGTATGTGAAACACTTTATAAGGGGTCTGCTGGAAGAGGGCTGCCCCAGTGACACCGCAGAGCTGACCTACGAGCATGGCTCCTGCAGTAGCTGGCACAGACGATGGATGCTGCATTGTCGATGCTAGTTTTGTTACCTCTGCTGAAAATTAAGGCTGGCAATTACTCTGAAGTAAAAGGTAGTTTATGCTTCTAGAGAAAGGTTAGTCTTAAAATCATTGTCATGCTACGGTTATCACTCGTTAAGAACCTTCTTTATATTCAGGGAAGAGAAATATCAAATCCATATAAACAAATTTTATTGGGGGCTTAATGAATCAGTGAGAGCATCCATTCCTAGAGAGCGACAGTAAAGAACTGTGTCTGCATGGTGTCCTTGGAAAGGAGACCTTTGCCTTGTCCTGCTCTCTGCACAGATGCAGACTGTTAGAAATATAGCTCACTGTTCTGGGCTGGGAAGTGCAAGTTTGCTGCTCTCAGCACAAGCTTGTGTAACTGTGCTGGTGAGAGCCCAGTAGGGTGAACAGACTCAGACATCTGTAGCACTAAAAGGGCTACCCTAACACTTGGGAATGTCCTCATTCTTCAGACATGTACCTTATACTCAGTGTCTCTACATTAATTTTAGCCTGTCTTCCGCACTTAGAACCACGTTCACAGTGCAGAAATGTACCACTTTTGGGGCATTTGTGCAAAGCCAAGGCTATGTATGTCTACCTTACTCTTTCAGTGTTTGCTGGTGGGATGTGCTCCCTGGTGTAGCCACAGACTGAGATCACTAGCCGTCTGGATGTGCCAGGTCCTTCAGGCTCCAGGAGGTACAGTCTGTCTGTGAGCCAGGTGTCCAGGTCTGCTGCCTGGACAGCAGGATGCTAAGTGAAGGAACATACTAGAGGCAGCCAGAGTGAGCAAATTTCTATCTGCATAGCTTACGTCCCCAAATAGCATAGATCTGCTGCAGAATTGAATGCGAATGAGGACCTTGCACCACCCTAGGATTCAGGAGGTCTTTGCTTAATTTCCAATCTCATGGGAGAAAGCGTTATCCGGTGTTGGATCTCATAAAGAGTAAATATATGTCTTCCTTAGTTTCCCTTCTATTAATAAACCTTAGGCAGTAAATAGCATGTGAAGGTTCATCTTTGTAGGTGTTTGTGTGCAGATTCAATTAAAAGAAGCCTGGTTACAATCAGCAATAACAGAATCAAAAAATTGCTTGAGAACCAAAATAAATGGATATGTTGTTAGAAAGTGGCAATTGCTACACAGTTCAGTCTCGGGTGGTACTGTGTACACTTGCTTCCTGCTGGAGTTGGGACTGGGTTCATGCCTGAGTGTGCCTGCACTTGGAAGTGCAGGACTCTTGTTGACTTGCACTGGAATTTGCTCATGTAAGAAGTGCTTGTTAAGGGGCTCTTAATGACTGTGGAGTCTGATCCCCCTCCAGAAACAAGTTTGCTATTCTTAAATGTTTTATATTGTAAAAATCTAAGCCATGACTAAATGCATTTTAAAAAGAAAAAGATATTTCTAATTGTATTTTAGCATCTGCCTTCCCTCTGCATCTGAATTAAGGACTAATTCAGAATGTCCCTGTGGCCTTCTCTTACCTGCTAGTAGTGTAGTTTTTGTGTTAACCACTTCTATGAAAAAATCAGTCTTCCCTATTTTGCTTTGGGTTTTTTCTGCCTTTGAGAGAGACTCTTCCAGTGCCTCAACTTAAAATAACTCATGTGGAGCGCAAAAGGTCAAGAGTGTGTCATTTTCAGTGTTGAGGAGCATTTTGGAGCATAAAATCCAGGAAGTTAGAGCATTTCTGTGAGTGTTTTCTGTGCAGTCTTCTGAAAATTGTTCTTGTGCAGTCTTTGGAGATGGTACTTTTTGTGAGGCTGTTAAGAGTAAAGGACAGCCTGCAGACTGGTGCTTTCGCACCATCCTTAGTAGATCTCCTACACTTCATCTCCAGTTCAAATGCTCATCCACGTGTTTTATTTTCTTCCAGGTTCTGGGTTTATCATGTGCAGCGGCAAGGAGAATCCAGACAGCGATGCTGACCTGGATGTGGATGGAGACGACACACTTGAATACGGGAAACCACAGTATCGTTTTTGAAAGGCTCTTACTGAGAGGGAGCCTGGACTTGCATCTTCAGCTAGCTTTCAAACAGCACTGCCCTGGGTAGTGGTGGGTAGTCTGTGTCCAGCCCTACTGGAAATGGCACCGCCTTCCCCAGTTCCCATGTTATTTTGAACTAGGAGGGATTCCCAGTTGCTCCCTTTGAGGTCCTTCTGTTGATGCAGCACTTTCTTCAGACCCATTTGGTGAAGTCTGTAGGAGACACTGCAGGAGATCAAAGTTAGTGTTTCTCTATTCTGTTTCGCAAGCAATGTCTTCTCTCCATCCAGGTTTCTTCCATATGGATAGCTTTTCCTGCCTCATGGGTAGGAATTGAGTTTATTTTCCACAAGACACCCCTTTGTTTTCAGGGGTTTTGTGCAGTAAAAGTTTCAAGCACTATTTACCTGCCACTCTGAGAGACTGATTTTTTTTTTTTCCCCTTCATTAGAAAGTTCATGGGCAGAACTATCATTAAGGGCAGTTTTGGGGAACTTCTCCGTCTGGGAGCCAGGCGCTTCGGACTCAGCTCTGGGATTGCTGTGGGCAGACTTCTGCCCTGCAGCAGCTGTACAGCCATCAAGGAGGGATTTCCGCAAGGGGTATTAGGCAGACATTGACTTAGCTGTGATGAGGGGGAATGTATAGCTATAGAATTAGATGTTTTTGCAGTCTGTACCAGCCTTTAAGACTGAAGCCCCAACCTTTAGCGGGTAAAAGATCTCTGTACCACAAACAGGAATAGTGGAATTGTGAAAGTTAGGCCTGCAGAGGTTGAGGAATTGGTTTTCTCCTTCTAAGAGGCTGTGGCGTCATGTTGCTGTCAAAGGACTTTTCTGTTCCTTTCCACCTAAAACAAAACTTTAATCCAGAATTTAAAAGCAAGCCCCTTCATGGATACCAGCCCCTCTTCTTTTGAGGTGCTCCCAGTTGGAATAAATTTGTTCTGTATCCCAGACAGTGCCCCAACCATCTCAAAAGTCTTTCCACTGTCTGCAGCAAGGCTGTATGTTCCTTAACCCCTTGTGCTCAGGTACACAGAGGCAGACGTTATCCCTTGCACTGGGGAAGAGCCAGGTGAAGCCAAAGAGAGGGAGGCGCTTCGAGGTGCTGTTTTAAAGTAAGTACTGTGCCTTTCTAATTTGCTTTCATTACTTTTGAGGAATCTCAATTTGTGGAGAATACCCATTCGCTTGAGCGCAAGGGTCGCAATGGGAGAGACAAAGAAGTGTGGTGTGATGGGTGGGTCTCCATTTCTACCCGTGCAGCCTCATAAAGCCTCTCTGCACACTCTCCCTCCCTTAACCTCCCCACTACCCAGACAGTGCCGTCTTCGTCTTCTCCCTGAAGAGTGGTGGACAGAAGGTGAATTCTGGAGATGGGAAACTGTGCTGTACTAAGGCCTTATGCGTCATCTTGCTTCACGATGAAATGTGGCCTCTTAGTATAGCATGATGCCATCCAAATCTTGTTCAGCACATTAGGAGTCTGGCACCCAGGGTATGATTTCATTGCATCCCATTATGTGTTGTGGAGTACACAAACTAATCCTTCTGTGTTCAGCTCTGGGGTGGGGCAGGATGTGTGCTCTGCCTACACACGTATGTGGAGAGTGTAGGCAGCCAGTGTTCAGGGTACTTGGGGAAGCATTTCAGGCAAATAAAATGAGTTTTAACAGTGAGCTAGGATTGCTTTCTAAGCCCTCTGCCCTGCATAAAACAGGGCTTAAATTACCCCTCTGTCTCTTTCACTGAGTGATCCTATGAGGTCAAGGTTGAAGTGATTGATAGAGCAGTGAAATGAAGTTTTCTTACTGCTTAGCCTGTCACAAACACTAGTTCAAAATTAGGTTCCACTCCATAGAAAAGTGGCATTTGCCACACTGGATCCAAACCATTGGTCCGTTCGATACTTTGCTAACCATGCTTGTCTGTAGGCAGGGCCTCAAAGATGCTGAAGCTTCTTCACAGCCAGGAAAGTGGTATTGTAGCAGGAGAATATCGGGATATCCCTTATCAGTGGCTGGGGACACTTAGTGCTTGGTGAGACGACTGAGCACCTGAGGCCAGGAGACCCAGTCCCTTCGTGTGGCTTGCACCTAACACATTGTTTTGCTGTTTGGGCATGTCTCCCGGACTTGTTCGCCCATCTCTAAAACTGGAGAGGTGATGTTGCTTGTAAAAGCACTTTGAAATTCTGGCAAGTTTCTGTAGAAATGCAGTAGGGTAGCTGATGCCATGAAGCATGAGCCTATGTTACCTTTTGAGTGCAACTGTCTTAGTACATAGAGCTAAAATGTTACACAGTCACAGGTGTGCAGCCTGCTCAGAAGACTCCTTTCTCTTACAGTCTCTGTTACTGGCTTGCAAGTGAATGGACAGGGTTAGGAGTTGTCTGTACTTCAATGCTGCTGTTCTTCAAATGGGAAGATGGAAAAGATGGGGCTTATGAAGGTGTAAAGTTATTCTTAAAGGGAGAAGCTATTGCAACACAGAGGATTTCTGTTCACCAGTAAGGTTTTAATCTTTGCAATTGTGTATTCAAAAATGAGCCTTAGGTCACAGGTGTGGTTTGAATTCCAAGCCTTCAGTCAGCATCACAACCCCCATGTGATTCAGCAGAGGTCACAGCTAGAAGAGCAGGTTGGGAGAACACTGGTGGAGATGTGGACTAGCACAAAAACACCTCCTGCAGCAGGCCAACTGCTCACATTTGATGGCTAGACTGATGGACAGAAGTATTGAGAGAGAGGTGGCGGGTGGATTGGTGGGTGGAAGAGCTAGCTATTTCCTGAGCAGCAAAATTTTCCACATTCAACCTTTAGCATTCTGCCCTTTTTCTCTTCTAGTGGTGGCACACCCAGTACTCGAATAACACCCGAGTTTTCCAAATGGGCCAGCGACGGTGAGTGTTAAACATGTAGATTATTAATTTGTATGCTATAGGAGGGCAGATAGATATTCCATATCTTCTGATTGCCAGTAATTAGGCAAATGATAGTTACAGATGCTCTTGCGCAGTACCAGCAGCTATGCATGTGCACAGTATCGCACTGTCTTTTTGAAACTTTACAGCACAATTTACTGTAGTCAGCGGCATCTGGGAGAGTTCCCAAAAATGCAGCCTTCACTGGTATGGTGATACAAGATAGGGTTGGATTGACTTGCTGTCATGCCACTAAAAGACAAACTGTTGTATCACAGAGGGAGCCATCAGAGCTTGACTATGGGATGGTGGTGTTCAGCTGCTGGGGGTTTAAACTATGCAGGCACCTGTTGCTTGGGTTTTTTTCAACTGCTTTCTTATCATCTTCCCTCCTTTAAAAGGGTGTGCTAGAGACTTGTGTCATGATCTGTTGGGTAGGTCTTGTCCTTGCCGGCCTCCGTATGGCAAGAAAAGGCTGCAGATCTGAAGCCTGCACCTTTAGGGTGGGAACTCTAGGATCTGTCCTACTACATGGCCTGTAGTTGAGACTCCAGAGCAAATGAGAGAATGTGAAATTTTACCTTTGCATGCATTATTTGAAAGCTCATAGCATTAAGCGGGGGTAAACCCATTCGACTTCTGGGTTTTTTTATTTAATGCCAGCAGCACTTGAAGTGTAAGCAGCAACCTAGTGGAAATATGAGAATAATAAAACCTGGCGCTTTCCAGCTGTAGATGCCAAATCCATTTCCAGAGCAGGGCAGTGCTGCTCCAGCTCCCTTAGGAAGGGAACTGAAGCTCAGCGACCTGAAGAGATGTGTCCCAATGATTTTGTTCCCTGTTCTGTTACTGTAATGCTTTGGGCATTTGATTCCCAGCCTTGAAAGTACCTACAAGACATAACTGCTTGCTGGGGGAGGGAGGGGTGTAGAATCAGTTTTGCTACAGGCATGATGATTAAATGGAGAACATAGGATATCTATCACAGGCGTTTTCTTCTGTGGGGTAGGCAATCACATTTATTTTCTGTGATGTAGGAGCACTCGCTTGTAGGTATGTTCAGCTTCAGTAACTACAGCCACAGAGGTGATGAGGAAGCAGCCCTGATGGCACCTACTATGAGCTGTTTTCTTCATACATTTTATCTGAAGCCGTGGTGATGAACCTACAGCCCAGGGGCTGGCCCAGGATGGTTCATCTGGTTCATCTCTGACTGGTATCTCGCATCCCCTCTAGTGCTGGGAGGAGCCACAGGACTGCTGGTAGAGGAGAGCTATGAGCAGACTGCTCTGTCATACAACCTACTTGGCACATATTTTTTTTCCCCTGTCTTTGTCTGAGGGGTCTCAGAAAAAGGGCCTCCCTGCCACATGGGGACATGTGGCATCGGGCTCTTATGTTTCTGAGAATTGACGTGAAAATGACTCATGGGGCTCCTCTGCTTCTGAAACTGTAACTCTCTGAGACTATTTCATTGCAATGATCAAATGTTCTCTTACTAATTTGTCTGCTCTTCCCTCAACAGAAATGCCCTCAACGAGTAATGGTGAAAGCAGTAAACAGGAGACCATGCAGAAGACCTGTAAAAACAGTGACATTGAAAAGTGAGTGTAAAGTGGATAGCTTTCATTTTTCTTGTTTTAAGGAACCATAGTGTCCCATCTGGTGCTCCTAGAAGCAGTGCTAGTCTGAGGGTAGGCATATTTGAAGCTTTTACCACTGAGAAGGGAAGTTTTGCTCCAACATGAAGCCTGGGCTCGGAGCTGCTGTGTCCACAGAGGGCCTGTGGGTAGTTCTCCCGAGATATCTGCATGGGCAGGTACCCAGCAACAAGGAATTGAGCGCAGCTTCCAAAGGACTTCTCCACTGTAAATTGCCTTCTTTTAAAATATGTAAATAGATATATCCATGCTTTCCACCATAGAATCATAGAATCATAGAATCGTCTAGGTTGGAAAAGACCTTTAAGATCATCCAGTCCAACCATTAACCTACACTACCAAGCCCACCTAAACCAATCAAGGGCAGACTAGACTAAACCATATCCCGAAGTGCCACATCTACCCGTTTTTTGAACACTTCCAGGGATGGTGACTCCACCACCTCTCTGGGCAGCCTGTTCCAATGCTATTCTAGTCATGGTGGGGTTTCAGATATGTTGTGTGGTGCCTAACAGCCTAGGCTAGAGCTGGGACTTTGGATGGGAGGAGAATATTCAAACCCACTTTAACCTGACAAAAGCAATTGGCTCGTCAAGCTGTACTTGAATTTTTTTTTTTTTTTTTTAATGATTCCCCCTGCAAGATTTCTGCTATCAATGTTTTATGGGATCCTGCTTTTACTGGAGAAGTTACCTTATCATTGCATCTTGTTTTTTGAGCACAGTCCTTCACATGGTCTCTATTCTGTTTTCTCCATGTGACCTGCATGTTCCACCCTCCATCTCTCCAGCAAAAGGGAATCCCAGCAGCCCTGTAACTTGGCAGAAGCCTCACTGAGAGAATTTCTTTTCCCTTAAGATCTAGATTTCACCTTTGTGTGGTTGCTAATGGAAATAATGTCTCAGTTCCTGAGTTTACCTGCAGCCCTTCCAGTTGATTCAGAAGTTTAACTCCCAGTGTTTGAATATACAGTAGTGCAGGGGCTCCTGGCCATCTCCTTCCCTGTCCGTTTCTGCTCGCTGGATGTCCTGCAGCCTAGCCTGGGATAGAAACAAATGGTTTTATCTGCACTGTACGTTTGAGCAACAACTTCTCTCCTCAGCCTCATTCCACACACTGCCAGAGTGACTTACTGCTCAGGCAGATTTGATGATCCAAGCCTACTGCAGTCTACTACTACTACTTCACTATGGACTGCATTAATTGGGGTGGGGCAGTGTTTTAAGTTGATTATTGCCTGACATAAAATGTTGCCCCAAGATCAAGTGAGAGACAAAACAGCTTGAATGAGGTGGAAGCAATGAGGTAATTGTGGGTTTTAAACAGACAGCATTTACATTTTGGGGATGAGGTCTGTAGATAATTTGGGATGGGGAGAAAATCTGGTGGTAGCGTTAAGCTGACTTCAACAAAAACTTCCTGTAATGTAGTTTGTTCTCCTTCTGCCCCGGTCCTGACTTGAGAATTTGTGTCTATGGCACATTTCAGGATCTCTGACAGTTCAGGCAGCCTGGCAAAGCATATGTTCACAGTCAGGAGTTAACTGGGGAAACTCCCTGCTGCAGAGGAAACTTTAACCCTGCTTTGCTGTCTTGGCACTTTCCTTTTTACAAGGCTTTTTATTAGCATGTCCCAAACATGGGCTGTCTGCTGTTCGATGCTCCTCAGTGAGCACTTCGGCCAAGGACCACTGAGTTTGGGAGCTCACAGGTCAGTGCAGAAGCAGCTTTGTCCTTAGACTGAGCCAACCGTTGCATGCTGTCTTGGAGGCAAGGACTCATCCCCTCTGCCTAATCTGTCAGCCTCTGTCTCAGCCGCTGCTTGGCTTCCCTTTGGGCCTCCTGCCTGTCAGCCCAACAGCCCTCCACCCTCCCAGATCCACTCCTATTGAAAATCTTTAAACTGCAGGAGCTGAAAGGATTTGACATTTTCCAGAACACTTGAGCTCAAGTGATAAAATTGACATAGCTTTAATAATGTGATCAAAGAGGCTTTAGCTAGCACCTTTTGAAGGATCCCAGAATCCTTTCCAAACAACACTCGTGCTAATGCCGCTGTGAAGTGCGGGGAGTGCATATGCACGTGCACACGTATGCGCATACACGTGTGTGCATGCACACCTTGCTCCGCAATAACCTTGCCCCACTAAAGCTTCAGTTTTGCAAAAGGTGCAAGAAGTCAGCAAAACCCAATAGAAATTACAGGAAAAGCCTTAAGTGTCTTGCTGAGTCTTTCCAATAATGTTGATTTTTTTGAAAATATCAGGGAGAGCTTTTATTTAAGGTGCTTTATTTCACTGGGGTTCAGAAAAGAAGATGGTGTTTCAGGTGGAGAATTCCTAGCTGCTTTTTTTTTTTTATTTTTCCCCCCTTCTTTCTTTCCTTTGAGATTCATGTGTGATAAATAGTTTCTGTCCTGCCATTTAAGGAGTCTGAATGCTCTGTGTGCTTGTCTGTGTAGAGGGGTTCTGTTAAATTAATTGATAACAGGGATCAGAGCTAGAAGCCTATAGAAAAGGAGGGGGAAGGGTTTCACACTGTCTGGCTGCTTCCCACTCCACTGCTGAGCCATGATATATGGCGACCCAGCCCAACAGGCTAAATTGATTCATCTCTGGTTCCTGTTTCTTAATCTGGAGCTAAATTGGTTTCATTTTTCTTGTTTTGGGTGGTGCTTACAGGAAGTTTTTGGCAGCATCGCTTCACTCCATTGTTTGTAACTTTAATTTTTGCCTTTAAATCTGAGCATTATTGATTGGCATGTTAAACCCTGTGTGGCATCTGATGAGCATTTTTAAAAGTGTCCAGAAGCACATGGCTTGCCACCTGTGTCAGCCATGCTCTCTGTTTAGAGCAGCAGCTAATAGAGTTAGCAGTGATCTGTGTATTGATCCTTCTCATAAGAACGACATTCCTTCCCCCTCCCCTCTTCCAAAAATAAGTTTAGGCAAGGAGAGCAGTGTGATTTTATTCGGGTTTTAATCTGTTAATATGGTACAGCAAGCGGTCCTCCTTTTGGCACACAGCTGAAGCTCTTTGCTTGAGCAAGTTCATTTAATCTAAACTCAGATTTTCATGGAAGAGTCTCTTGCATGTAGAACGACTAGATGGGGTTTAGGACAAATCTGTGTTTGTTGCCCCACTCCTTGTGCCATGCCAGGTCATCAATAGCTTGGGCAGGTTGACCTCATCTGCATTGCATTGAACTTCAGATGGCAGCCACAGGTAATGAGAGACATGGTGCTGGTCCCACCTCTCCTTCCCAGCACTGCGGGGTGTCTCAGCCCTGCTGAGCGTTTCTAATCTCTCGAACGTGAGGTGTCAGCACCACTGAAAGCTCATGGGGAGAGGTAAAGGAGTGTCGCACTGGCTGAGCTCTGCCCGGCTACTGAAGCCCCCAGCCACCACGAAGACCTGCCCGTCTTCAGTAGACGGGCAGAGCTCAGCTGGTGCAATGCTCCTTTACCTCTACTCAAGATGCAGCTTTGCTCGGAGAGAGCAGCCGGTCCCTAATTGCCCAAGCACCCTCCCTGACTCCTCCGCCGACATCGTACTCTCAGCCAAAGCACTGTTGCACATAGAGAGCTGCAAAAAGCACCTTCCCTGCAAAAAGTCTTCCTCCCTTCTCCCTCCTGAGATGCTGCCTGCAAGGGTCTGGTGCCATTTTGAAACCGAGGTTCCCCGGGGTTAAAAGCCAGCATCTTAATTCAGAGTGCCAATGTTCAATTTTGCTTTCTGCCACCAGACTAGATTGCAGGCCAGCGAGAGAGTCTGGGTTAGTGGCCCACTGGGTCACCTCCCATTTGTTTTCCTCAATTTTGTGTTGTCATAAATTCATTCCAGCCCGTTGTGGTTGATCAGTTTATCTCCGCCGGGGCAGGGAGCGCTGCGAGCATGATATATGGCACAGAGCATTGTAGCCAGCCTCTCCATGAATCACTCCAGCTGTTTGGTGTCAGCCCCAAAGCAAACAGGACCCGGCCGCTGAGCGTTGACTACGATGAGCTCAGTATAGGAAGAGACATGACGTATGAATGTTTATTTAATAATTCTCTAATATTTCCAGCGGAGTGTGGCTGTGCCT